GTCTTGAACTCCTGACCTCAGGTGATCCACACGCCTCAGCCTCCCAAAATGCTGGGATTACAGGCATGAGCCACCACACCTGGCAGGCAATCTTTTCTTTAAAGTCATTCACTTTTATTTATTTTTATTGTTTTGAGACAAGGTCTTGCTCAATGGTGTGATCTTGGCTCACTGAAACCTCCACCTTCCAGGCTCAAACGATCCTCCTGCCTCAGCCTCCCAAGTAGTTGGGACTACAGGTGTGCATCACTATGCCCTGCTAATTTTTGTATTTTTTGTAGAGACAGGGTTTCACCATGTTGGCCAGGCTGGTCTTGAACTCCTGGACTCAAGCAATCTGCCTGCCTGGGCCTCACAAAGTTCTGGGATATAGACATGAGCCACTGTTCCCCGCTAAAGTGCCTCATTTTTAAAAAGTAGGCATTTCAGGCTGGGCGTGGTGGCTCACGCCTGTAATCCCAGCACTTTGGGAGGCTGAGGCAGGTGGATTACGAGGTCAAGAGATCGAGACCATCCTAGTCAACATGGTGAAACCCCATCTCTACTAAAAATACAAAAAAATTAGCTGGGCATGGTGGCATTCACCTGTAGTTCCAGCTACTTGGGAGGCTGAGGCAGGAGAATCACTTGAACCTGGGAGGTGGAGGTTGCAGTGAGCCGAGATCACGCCACTGCACTCCAGCCTGGCAACAGAATGAGACTCCCTCTCAAACAAAACAAAACAAAACAAAACAACAACAAAACAAAAAATTAGCCGGGCATGGTGGCGTGCGCCTGTGGTCCCAGCTACTTGGGAGGCTGAAGCAGGAGAATCGCTTGAACCCAGGAGGCGGAAGTTGCAGTGAGTGGAGATCGCACCACAGCACTCCAGTCTGAGGGACAGAGCAAGACTCCATCTCAAAAAAAAAAAAAAAAAAAAAAAGTAGGCACTTCAGTGCCTGCTTCAATGTTATCCTTTTAGCCTCATTTTCATTTGTGTAACCCACTTAAGTGGTCTTGGGTGCCTCCGAGGTGCAAGGCCATGCCTTGTGGAACCTGCAGTCCATCAGCCATGGGAGCTGAAGGAACAACTCTACAGTTTAGGCCCAGGGGACCACCATGAGAAGTGTGCAGTTTGTTTGGTTTGACAAACAGGAACCAGGTGGGAGGGACTGCATGAGCAAGGGAGTAGCGGCTGGACCAGGCCTGGTGAGTCTGCCAGGAAAGAATGGCCCACCCTTTGTGTGCTCACCTCACTGGGAGGCCACCCTCAAAGTGGGTGGTCACCCCCCTTCAGAGAGGAGAAACTGAAGACGGGGTGGGGAAGGGCCCTGTTCACAGGCTGGCTGAAAGGACTGCAGTGTGTGAGAACACAGGGCTGCACCTGACCTCCACGGAGAGCATGCATGGCTGGGGACAACTGTGCACACACAGAACTGAGCAGGCCAGGCAGGGCCAAACGCCCCAGCCACCACTCCCCTCGCCCCTCGACCTCCTCCTTCCTTACAGAGGGGCCCCCTCTCTTACTTGGTGACCCACACCCCTAATTCTGGGTGCTTTTGTTCTTGGTGTTGCACCCTGCCCACAATCCCGGTGCCGGGAGTCCTCTGTGGGCACAGCAAACAGTGATGAGGGACAGTCCCTGCCTTCCCCCACCTAGGAGTAATAATAACAACCACGGCAAAGTCACCCAGAAAAGTCCATAAAAACCTCAAGTTCAGCCAGGCGCGATGGCTCATGCCTGTAATCCCAGCACTTTGGGAGGCTGAGGCGGGCGGATCACGAGGTCAGGAGTTCCAGACCAGCTTGGCCAACATGGTGAAATCCCGTCTCTACTAAAAATACAAAAATAGCCAGGTGTGGTGGCATGAGCCTGTAGTCCTACCTACTCAGGAGGCTGAGACAGGAGAATTGCTTGATTCTGGGAGGCGGAGGATGCAGTGAGCCGAGATCGCCACTGCACTCTAGCCTGGGCGACAGAGCAAGGCTCCATGTCATAAATAAATAAATAAACCTCACGTTCCCGAAGAGCAGGAAAACGTTCTAAATCCGCGCTCCAGCTCACCTGGCCTGGAACCAAGCTGCTAAAATTGCGAGGCTACAGGCTTCAACTTGCGCTAGATTTGACTGAGCTGGGCAAATGCTCCTCGGCCTTTGGGATAGACACGCTGCCTGGATGTCGCGTAAAGGCCGTCAGTGTCGGGGATTGCACCCACGGAGCCGGGGACTAGGTGGCGGGGCCGGCCCGGGGAATCCGGTGGGGTTGAGGACCGCGCTGGGGGCCTCATCTCATCCCCCGCGGGCGCTGCCTAAGGCTGCTGGCGTTGGCAGCGCATTTTGGCCCAGGCAGTCGAAGACGGGTTGGGACGCCCCCTCGTGGGAGTTCTGGGGATGGGTTGCTCTAGGCCTTCCCCAGGGTCGCGCTTCACTGTCCTAGGCCATCCGAGACCCCGAGGCCACGCGGTGGTCAGCAGACCTTGTCTGGTGGGAGGGGGCAGACAGCCGAGCCCGGAAGGGGTAAAGAGCAGAGTCAGGCCTGGAACCTCGCGTCCCCTTCCCGGTTGGCCCCAGCCCGTCGCCTTCCCGTATCCTCTCCCCTACAGGGCTCCCAACAACCCCCAACTCCGCTCCCTGCCCTCTGCGGTGCTCCTAACAGAAGGAACCGTCCCCCTCCTTAAGCCCTCGGCGTTTTTCCACGCAGGCCCGTGTCCCTAGAACCCGCACAGCCTGCCAAGCATAGGGAGGGAGCAAGGTCCCATTTCCAGCCAAGACCCGGAGCTGCTGGAAGGGAGAAGTCCGGAGGACGGGCGAAAGGGGACAGGCTTGGGGGGCAGTACCACCTCCCCCTGGGGGCGTGTCCCTGAGGCCCCGCCCGGGGCCCCGCCTTTTTTGCGCCGGCTGTGACAAGCGCTGCGGCATTTGTCCCCGGGACAGAACCGCTGCCGCCGTCTCTAAGGTCGCCCGGGTCCCGCCGCCGCCACCATGCCTCGGGGAAGCCGCAGCATGGCCTCCCGGCCAGCCAGGTGTGAGGGGGACAAGGGCCCTGTGGGGAGGGGGTTAGGGAAGCGTGGGCACTCCCCCAAGGGCGTCCACAGAGTGACCTTGGCTGCTGCTGCGCCATCTTGGCGGGGGGAGGGGCGGGGGTGCAGCACCCACATGTGGAGACAGGGATCGTCCACCTCTATGGGGGTCGTTTCCAGGAGCTGCAGCACCCCCGGCCTGGGGTCTGGCCAGGATTAACCCTGCTTCCTCCCACCTCCGCAGCCGCCCCGCCGCGCCCTCTGCCCACCCGCCCGCGCACCCACCGCCCTCAGCAGCCGCCCCAGCACCCGCCCCTTCGGGCCAGCCGGGGCTCATGGCTCAGATGGCTACCACGGCCGCAGGGGTAGCCGTGGGCTCCGCTGTGGGACACGTCATGGGCAGCGCCCTGACCGGAGCCTTCAGCGGGGGGAGCTCGGAGCCCTCCCAGCCTGCTGCCCAGCAGGTGAGCAGCGGGTCCAAGAGAAACTGAGGCAGGATTCTCTCAAGGCCACACAGGGAGCTGCCCAAGTGTCCAGTGAGGAGTGTCCGCGTGTACTCACCATTGCTTCAGCCCAGGACTCTTTGCCCAGGAAGGGTCCTAGTCCACTGGTCTTGAGTTCACTGTCACTTAGAGGCAGGCTTCCCAGTCCCTCCCTTGAGGCCAGGGTCCCTAAGCTCCCAGGGAGAGACACCAACCAACCCTTTAAAGATGGGAAACCCAGGCCCTGAGGGCTCAGAGACTTGTCCAAGGTCAGCTCACCCTAGCAGAGTGGAGGGATGGTGGATTTCCTGAGCCCCTGTTCTCCCCGCACCCAGGTCTGCACATTGTGGCCGCTGGGCCCAAGGGTGAAGGGGAGCCACTTCCCTGATGACCTTTCCCCTGCTGGGGACCCCACCCGCCCTAAGCCAAACGTGGCTTTGTGGCTAGGTCAGGGGTCATGAGGATTAGTGTAGCTGAGCCAGGAAGGTGCTAAAACTTGTGGGGGTGGGGCTCATACTCTGAGAGTCCAGGCAGAGTACTGGGCTCTTCTAGAGCCTTCTCCTCCCTCCCCTGCACCTGCCCAAAGTGCCCATTAGAAGGCAGCAGAGGCCAGGCGCGGTAGCTCACGCCTGTAATCCCAGCACTTTGGGAGGCCGAGGCAGGTGGATCATGAGGTCAGGAGTTCAAGACCAGCCTGGTCAACATAGTGAAACCCCGTCTCTACTAAAAATACAAACATTTGTTGGGCATGGTGGCAGGCACCTGTAGTCCCAGCTACTTGGGAGGCTGAGGCAGGACAACTGCTTGAACCCAGGAGGCGGAGGTTGCAGTGAGCCGAGACTATGCCACTGCATTCCGCTCTAGGTGACAGAATGAGACTCCATCTCAAAAAAAAAAAAAAAAAAAAAAACAAAAGAAAAGAAAAAGAAGGCAGCAGAAACACGCTGTCTGTAGCCGCCTCCACTGCTGGGTCACTCAGCCTGCCTAGGACCCTTGGGGCACCCAGGCTGGGGATGTGGGGAGGGGCAGGTGGCCCCAGCTTTGAAACGCACCTCCAGGTACCAACTCCAAGCTGATCCTGCAGCCTCTTGCACTGTACCCCCAGGCCCCCACCCCCACTGCCCCCCAGCACCTGCAGATGGGACCCTGCGCCTATGAGATCAGGCAGTTCCTGGACTGTTCGACCACTCAGAGTGACCTGTCCCTGTGTGAGGGCTTCAGCGAGGCCCTGAAGCAGTGCAAGTACAACCATGGTGAGTGGGTGGACCCCGACCCAGGCGGGGAGGGGGAAAGGCCCACCCTCCTCTTGAACCTGCAGACTGACCACCAGCCTGTGCTGCTCCTCCCTTCACAGGTCTGAGCTCACTGCCCTGAAGAGGTTGGTGCGAACTTGGGGGCCAGTCCTGCACCCACCTCTACCCCTCGCCGACAGCCAGACCACAACACCAGATTGTACCTGGATAGCTGGGATTGGAAGTGAGGAGGTTTCTCACCCCACAGATAACCTAAGACACAAATGTGCAATTAAAAGTTTATTTTAGACCATAGCCTGTTGTGTGCCTCTCTCGATGGCCTGTCTTCAGGGAGCTCCCTGGCTGATGAGGTGGGGTCAGGATGGATGTCTCACTACAGTGTGCAATCCATCACCTTAATCAGGGCCCTGGGTGGGGAGGAGGAACCCTGTTGCAATCTGCACTGTGGTTAGCACAGGACAGATACCTTGGGCAGTCCAGAGTGTGGTAGAGAGGCATTAGTAGGTGATCCCAAGGGCATCTGACTCTGAGGGTGGAATGCCAGGATGAACTCATGGTTCTCCCCCTTCTCAGGGATACCTGCCACCTCTACCCTTCTTGTCTCTGCCTCCGCATCCCATTCTCTGCACCCACAGCTTAGGTGCCCCCAGCAGCCTTAAATCCTGTCTGACCTTGCCCCTCTTGCTGATACAACTTCTCAGCAATTCCAGATTCTGCAAGAGGAGTCGTACTGGGTTGCTGTCTGTTTGCACCTGATCACACAAGGCAGAGGTCATGGCTAACCGCCTTGGGTCTGAGTCCAACTTGGCTAGTTGGCAGTAGTGTGCCAGGTCCCCGGGCCTGCCAGAATGGAAGAACAAGCCCTTCGAACCCAGTGTGGGCCGTGCCATCACACACCATGCTGCCGCCTTCGTTGAGTTCGTCCAGCAGTTGTGCACTGAGCTCCTACTGTGTGCCAGCCCCTATGCCACATCTGTGAAGCCTGAGGACATTCCAGCCCTTAGTGAGCTGGCATTCCAGTGGGGTGGTAGGGACCTGTCTCAGGGTACAGTGTGTTCCGTCTGGGGGTATAGGTGCGTGGAGTTGCTGTTGAGGGTCTGCCTCTCATCGTATGTGTCCCTCCCACAGGAAGGGGTCCCACTCTGGGTGTCTGCATGGGTGTCCATATCTCCTCCGTACCTGGCTCCCGGTCCCAGCTAGCAACTCCTGGGTGGCAGGGAGCTCACCTTTCTGGGCCTTGAAGTGGGGCTTTGCTCATGGCGGCCACGCCGGGTGCCCATGCGCTTCCTCCAGTTGTGGCCCGCAGAGGAGAGGCCTGACAGCCTGCGTAGTTCCTCTGGAAGGCCCGGGAAGTCCTGCTGGTAGGGGCTAGGGAGAAGGCGTGCCCTCCCCCTGGGCTGTATCCTGACACTCACCTGCCAGCTCTGGGTAATGGTCATCCAGGTTCTCCAGTAGGGACTCATAGCGGGTGGGGACCATGTCCTCTCCCTCTGTGGCATGTGGAGAGAGGATGAAGGACACCTGACTGGCCTGATGGTCCCTACTCTGCCTCTCATTCTGGAACTGTTTGCTAGTCCAGGCTGGGGGCAGAGCACGGGGTAGGGATGGAATGGCGCTAGGTCCCCAGCTGAGGTGGGAGGCTGGACAGGGCCTTGGGTGGTCTATGGTCTGCTACGCCCCCCTCTTACATTCTAACATAGCTGCAGGGGAGAGAAGCTTGGGCCACCTTACTGATGGTTCGAACGAGGACATATATGGCTCGCTCCTTCAGCAGGGAGTTGCCCATGGTTTGGGTCCGTGCAGCCCCTTCCTTCAGGTCCTCCTCCAGGCTCACTAGGTTGCCGTCCTCAGCCAGGAGAGCAATGGTCGCTGGGAGGACATGGAGAGAGGCTGGGCAGGGCTGGCACCCCTGCCTGGGACCCCTCAGCCCCTCCTTCTCCCTGTCTCCTCACCATCTGGGGGCAACCCTGCTTTCTGCCTCAGGTGGGCGGTGAGGTTCACCAGCCTGCAAGAGGTGTTCACCAGCACGGAGCAGCCGGCTGTGGAGGAAGGGCAAAGGTGAGCATGTAGGATCTCTTACCTTCCTCCACGTCTGGGGTCCTCTGTCTCTCCTTCCCATCTTTCCCTTTCCCAGAGCTGCGACTGGGCCTAGGGGGGCTAGGACTGTGCCCCAGGCAAAACAGCTCCGACATCTGTTGCTTAAACTGCCTTGGAGACCCCTCCATCCATCTCCCGTGTGTGTTGACTTTTCTCCCATATAGGGTGACCCCCAAGTGTTGGTCTCTTGAGTCCTGCAAAGCATGAAGTGCGCGCCAGCCCAGCCTCCTCCCGGGCCCCGCCCCCACGGGACCCAGCCCGTCCCCGCACTCCCTCCCCTACCAACTTCCCTCTTCCCCTCCACCACCGCACAGGGCCGACCCGTCTCCAGCCGGGGGGACGGGGAACCTGCAACTGTGGCTAGAGTTTCAGGTGTCTGATGCACGCTGAAGCTTGAGGATCACGGATTGAATGGCGAAGAGATTGTGCGGTTTAAAAACCTGCTCCAGGGTGATGCGGCGGACGCTGGTCGAGAGGAGTCCTCGTGAATGAGCAGGACTCAGCTCGGGTTTTCCCTTTAAGGGACTTGCTCCAGGTGCTCGCTTTGCCTCCTCACAGAGCCGCTTCCCTGACCCCTGCCATCTGTACCACTCCCCTCTTTCCCGCCATTGCCTCCCCACCTTCCCCAAGGGCGGATGGAAGCAGCTTCTGAGTGTGCTCATCCCCCTACCCGCCTGCCAAGACAGGGGACCCCACTTACCCCCAAACATCACCTTGATAAACATAGCTGCAGCGGGGGAGGGAGATGTGGGGGACTTTGATCCCCCAACTCCCGATTCCCCAACTAAGGAAAGGCCTGGAGCAGAGACCTGCTTCAGGGCAGCGCTCTGGAGGGAGAAGTGGGTGTGTGAGTGTGGCTGGGTGGCCCCAGGGCCAGACCCCTACTCAGCCACCTCTGTGGTTCTGCTGCTTCAGCCTAGTTCAAACCCTGCAGCTAGTCCAAGACTCCTGGCCTCCTAGTCCTCCCCACTGAGCCCTGGGCCACAGCAGCTCCCTAAGCTTCCAAGCTGGTCTCCATGGCAGTGGGGGCGGAGACATCTAGGCAGGAAATACCTTCCTCCCTGTATCCGTTAACTGGACCCATGGGGGAGGGGTGGCAGAAGAAGTGGGCGCTGGCATTCCCTGAGGCGGGGAATGCCATCATTGGGACTGATTGTTTTTTTTAGAGACAGTCTCCCTATGTTGCCCAGGCTGGTCTCGAACTGGGCTCAAGCAATTCTCCTGCCTCATCCTCCCACAAGTGCTGGGATTGCAGTTGTGAACCACCTCCGCTGGATGAAGTGTCATTTACATACAGTACAGTAAAGTTCACCCTTTCTGGTGTTTTCAAGTTTCGCCAACTCTCATATAACCACCACCACAGTCAAGATACAGAACATTTCCATCACCCCCAAATTCCAGGTCCATAGCAGGTCACAAACACCTCCTTGTTAGCACTCGCCATTAGCTAGTCCCTCACACAGGTTCTCACCGTCATTTCCTGTCTTTTATTTATTTATTATGCTTATTAATTATTATTATTATTATTTTTTGAGATGGAATCTCCCTCTGTCACCCAGGCTACAGTGCAGAGGCACGATCTCGGCTCACTGCAACCTCCGCCTCCCGAGTTCAAGTGATTCTCCTGCCTCAGCCTCCTAAGTAACTGGGACTACAGGTGTGTACCACTACACCTGGCTAGTTTTTTGTTTGTTTGTTTGTTTGCTTTGAGATGGACTCTCGCTCTGTCACCCAGGCTGGAGTGCAGTGGTGCGATCTCGGCTCACTGCAAGCTCTGCCTCCTGGGTTCATGCCATTCTCCTGCCTCAGCCTCCTGAGTAGCTGGGACTACAGTCGCCCGCCACCATGCCTGGCTAATTTTTTTTTTGTATTTTCAGTAGAGACGGGGTTTCACCATGTTAGCCAGGATGGTCTTGATCTTCGGACCTTGTGATCCACCTACCTTGGCCTCCCAAAGTGCTGGGATTACAGACATGAGCCACCGCGCCCGGCCTTTTTTTGTATTTTTTTTTTTTTTTTTTTTTTTTTGAGACAGAGTCTCGTTCTATCGCCCAGGCTGGAGTGCAGTGGCGGGTCTCAGCTCGCTGCAAGCGCTCTGCCTCCCGGGTTCACGCCATTCTCTCCTGCCTCAGCCTCCCGAGTAGCTGGGACTACAGGCGCCCGCCACCTCGCCCGGCCTAGTTTTCCTATTTTTTAGTAGAGATGGGGTTTCACCGTGTTAGCCAGGATGGTCTCGATCTCCTGACCTTGTGATCCACCCGTCTCGGCCTCCCAAAGTGCTGGGATTACAGGCTTGAGCCACCGCGCCACGGCCTCTTTTTTGTATTTTTAATAGAGATGAGGTTTCACCATGTTGGTCAGGTTGGTCTCGAACTCCTGACCTCAAATAATCTGCCCACCTTGGCCTCCCAAAGTGCTGAGCCACCAAGCCCTGACCACTGTTATTTTTATTTTTTGATAAGGAGTCTCAAGCTCTGTCAGCCATGTTGGAGTGCAGTGGTCGATCTTGGCTCACCGCAACCTCTGCCTTTGGAGTTCAAGCGATTCTCACTGCCTCCCAGCCTCCCAAGCAGCTGGGATTACAGGCATGTGCCACCACACACAGCTAATTTTGTATTTTTAGTAGAGACAGGGTTTCTCCATGTTGGTCAGGCTGGTCTCGAACTCCCGACCTCAAGTCATCCGCCCTCCTTAGCCTCCCAAGTGCTGGGATTACAGGCGCGAGCCACTCACGCCGGGCTGGCTGGCTTGCTTTCTCTCTCTCTCTTTCTTTCTCTCTCTCTCTCTCTCTCTCTCTCTCTCTCTCTCTTTCTTTCTTTCTTTCTTTCTTTCTTTCTTTCTTTCTTTCTTTTCTTTCTCTCTCTCTCTCTTTCTTTCTTTCCATTTCTTTCTTTTCTTTCTCTTTCTTTTCTTTCTTTTCCTTCCTTCCTTTCTTCTTTTCTGTTCTCTTTTTTTTTTGAAACAGGGTGTTACTCTGTGCCCAGGCTGCCAGTGCAATGGCACCGTCACGGCTCACTGGGCGCTTTGGCCTCCTGGCTCAAGCAATCCTCCCCACTTCAGCCTCCTGAAGTAGCTGGGACTACAGGTGCATGCCACCATGCCTGTTGAAATGTTTTCTTTTTAATTTTTGTAGAGATGGAGTCTCGTTATGTTGCCTAGACTGGTCTTGAACTCCTGGTCAGCGATCCTCTTCGCACAGCCTCCCAAAGTGGTGGGATTACAGGTGCAAGCCATTGCTCCTGGCCTCACATTGTTTTTTTGCCTCTCCGTGTTCATCCTTTCTTTGACTTTTTTTTCTCCATGTCTCTTTTCATTATCCTTTCTCTTTCCATCCTGCTTACTGCCTCCCCTCTGTCTCTGTCTCTCCACTTCTGTCTCCTGCCCCCACCCCATGATCCTCACCAGACCTCTCAGCCAGGGCACTGGTGGATGCCTGGAACAGCGCACTCCTTTCCCAGCTCCCTTACCCCAAAGAAGTTTTAGAAGTGCTCCCCAGCCCCATGATTCAGCTGTGTCACTGCCTTTTGCAGAGTAGGTTCGGGACAGTGAGGAGTGGAGAAAGCAAGTCTTTCATGAAGCCTGCCATTGTCAGACTCTGGCTCTGGATAAGCACTTTCCTTTGGACTGCCTTGGTGTTTCCATCTGTAAAACAGGGATGTGACTCATGACTTAACGGGGCTGTGGTGACGATTAAGTGTGATACATTTTAAAGAGCTGTCTCTGTGCTCAGCACCTTGATGTAATAAACACTCCAATCAGTGTTGCGGAAACAGGCAGCACCAAACTTATTTAAACATGGCCCGGCCAAGCGCAGTGGCTCATACCTATAATCCCAACACCGGAGAGCCGAAGGCGGAGCAGATCACTGGAAGTTGAGATCTCAGCCTGAGCCAACATAGCAAGGCCTCATCTCTGTAAAAATAAAAGCATTAGGCAGGCGCGTTCAAGCCCGCCTGTAATCCCAGCACTGGGAGGCTGGCAGCGAGTGGATCACAAGGTTAGGAGATCAAGACCATCCTGGCTAACACGGGTGACCCTGTCTCTACTAAACAAATAAAAAAAAAAAATGGCAGGCGTAGTGGTAGGCACCTGTAGTCCCAGCCTCAGGAGGCTGGGGAGGCAGGAAAATGGCGTGAACCCGGGAGGCAGAGGTTGCAGTGAGCCGAGATCGCACCACTGCACTCCAGCCTGGGTGACAGAGCGAGCTCCATCTCCAAAAAAAAATAAAAAATAAAAATAAAAAAAACATTAGCTGGCAGTAGTGGCTCACCCACTTATGCTCCCAGCTCCTCGGGAGAGGCTGAGGTGGGAGGATCATAAGAGCCCAGTTCAAGGCAGAAATTAAAATCATACCACTAGGCTTCAGCCTGGGTAGCTGGTAGAGACCTTGACTAAAAAAAAAAAAGACAAGGCCGAGAGCGCGGTGGCTCAAGCCTGTAATCCCAGCACTTTGGGGAAGCGAGATAAGCCGGATCAAAGTCAGAGGCCGAGACCATTCTAGCTAACACGAGTGAAACCCGTCTCTACTAAAAATACAAAAACTAGCCGGGTGAGGTGGTAGGCGCCCTTGTGATTTTGGCTGTGGGAGGCTGGAGACGGGAGGTGGCGTGAACCCACAGGAGGCGGAGCTGCGGTGAGCTGAGATCGGCCATGCTCCCGGCCTGGGTGACAGGCGAGACTCCGTCTCCAAAAAAAGACAAAAAACAGTGCCTCTTTTGTTTTGAGGCGGAGTCTCGCTCTGTAAGCCCGGGCTGGAGTGCAGTGGCGCAATCTCGGCTCTTGAAGGCTCCGCCTCCCGGTTCACGCCGTTCTCCTGCCTCGGCCTCCCGAGTAGCTGGGACTGAGCGCCCGCCACTGCGCCCGGCTGAATTTTTCTGTTTTTAGTAGAGACGGGTTTCACCATGTTCAAATCTCTGACCTTGTGATCCGCCCGCCTCGGCCTCCCAAAGTGCTGGGATTACAGGCGTAGGCCACCGCGCCCGGCCTTTTTTTTTTTTTTTTTTTTGAGACGGAGTCTCGCTCTGTCGAGACGGAGTCTCGCTCTGTCGCCCGGGCTGGAGTGCGGTGGCCAGATCTCAGCTCACTGCAAGCTCCGCCTCCCGGGTTCCCGCCATTCTCCTGCCTCAGCCTCCCGAGTAGCTGGGACTACAGGCGCCTGCCACCTCGCCCGGCTAGATTTTTGTATTTTTTAGTAGAGACGGGGTTTCACCGTGTTTGCCAGGATGGTCTCGATCTCTTGACCTCGTGATCCGCCTGTCTCGGCCTCCCAAAGTGCTGGGATTACAGGCTTGAGCCACCGCGCCCGGCCATTTTTTTGTATTTTTTTAGTAGAGACGGGTTTTCACCGTGTTAGCCAGGATGGTCTCGATCTCCTGACCTCGTGATCCACCCGTCTCGGCCTCCCAAAGTGCTGGGATTACAGGTTTGAGCCACCGCGCCCAGCCACAGTGCCCTCTTTTTAACTCACAGCCTCCAGAATTCCCTTGGGGAGGCTATATAGCCCCTTCCCAGGTACCACTCCATTCTTGACACCTCCTCAGGGTATCTCCATGACAGTCAAGATAGAGTCTCTTGATTCCCTTCTTGGTGGCGATGAAGAGGAGATCCTTGGATGGCAGATGGTGACTATCAGAGCTGAGGCTCCAGGCCTGGAGTGGTCTTTCCTTCCAGATTCTGGCTCCAGGCACTGGAGGATCCACACTTACAGTCTCCTGAGCTGTATTCTGCGGGACGTGGGTCCCCAGATATGGTTCTGTCCTGGGGAAAAGTGCCCCATGTTTGTTTGTTTGTTTTGAGATAGAGACTCATTCTTGTCACCCAGACTGGAGTGCAATGGCACGATCTTGGCTCACTGCAACCTCCGCCTCCCGTGTTCAAGTGATTCTCCTGCCTCAGCCTCCTGAGTAGCTGGGATTACAGGCGCCCGCTACCACGCCCAGCTAATTTTGTTTGTATTTTTAGTAGAGATAGGGTTTCACCATGTTGGCCAGGCTGGTCTCGAACTCCCGACCTTGTGATCCACCCACCTCAGCCTCCCAAA